ACGATCACCTGTTTTTAGATTTCTCACAAACACCTGAACACCGTAAAAGAAGACACGACTTTTACAATTACCCAATCTGTTTTTATGGTACGGGTATACTAGCTCAAAATTAATGAACATGTTTTGGAAGATGAAATACCTAAAACAACCAGCATGACGTGGGAACTGATGCAGGTACTACCTGCAACTTGGAAATTAAACCCGCATTTCGGAATAGTCAGAAAGATTTCTCAAAATACACTCCACTTGACGTACCAGCATGGAGGGCGATTGTGGGAATGTGTCCCGCCCTCCAATTCTCCATAACTCCGCCCCCTCAATCCATATACGTCACACTATACCACCACGGCGGGGATGCATGCAAGGTCCCGTGATGTGTGATTTTGCGCTTGAACGTTCCACGCTTCGACGAATCCACAGCAAAACAAAAACGTCGATTTTGCTGACTAATATCGCTGATGACTAAAACTCGCGATGTTTTGACGAGTGTGGTTTGACTAAGACCTTGTATTTAGCCTAGGCTTTGTTAATTGTCATTACACGTGCGCATGATGCTCTCATATGACAGGGGTTTGTTTACAAACATTAATAGTGAAAATATTATTAGGGCAGTACCCGTAGCGGTCACTGATGAGTAAATTCCAAAAGTTTGGGAACCAACTCATGGAATGCTCACTGCACATAAGACGAGGGCTTGCTATTGTTCTTTGCCATTCTCCTCAATTGGAAGTTATTTGATGAATTTCATTCATTTTTTGTGATATTTCACTAATACCACCAAAAGAATAGTTTCATGAAAACCGACACGTGTATGCAAAATAATCAAGCTTCAACTAAAGACTCGGGCATATTGAAACTAAACAAGGAAATGATATGATGAAAAAAAAATTCAAGAGGAATACAAAACGACCTGTATTGCTTTTCCATATCCTGATTGGCAGTGTTTTTCCTAGAACAGGAATCTAAACATGCAGTATCATGCAGTGAAACTAAAACAGTTGGCAAGTTGTAGTTTTTTTCCAGTGAAATAGATCCGGGTGTAAGTGAAAGCGCTTCTCCGATATCTCCCCCAGGATGCACAGATGTTCAGATAACTTGGAACCCAGGAAGAAAAAGAACGGACCCCATTTTCTCTTTGGGTGGACTGATTTTTTTTTCACCCCGTTTTTTTCCCTTCGAAATTTAGGATTTTAATGAAAATTAAAGTCGTGTTCAACTGGGGTATATTTTGCGGTATTATTCAAACTCTCAATTTCAAGGGATTTTATTGGAATGAGAAAACCGAAGGCGCCATTTCTCACACCACAGGTATGGCGCGCCGTGGCGGTCTGATAAAACCGCCACATTCAAAACCGCAACTTCCTGTCCGCAGCATGTGTGCACTCTAAAAAAAAAACCCCCGGTGGTCTGGTTAATATCGGTCATTGATCTCTTTGTTATTGTTTTGATTAGGGATTATAAGAGACATATAATGAAATATAATGCTTACATAATATAATATCGAAGTTCCCGAGTTAAAGGGACACTCCGTTCCGGTTTGACAATACTGAATAACGATTGAATACTTTTTTAAAAAAATACCGTCTTTCATAATAAAAACACCCAGTGCGTTTCTGGGGTTAATGGGTCGACGCAATGGCGTATATTCTGAGGAGGGGTGGGGCCGGGGAGGGGTACCCCAAGTGACGCCATGCACTGTTACGGTCGAACAAGTCCCACGGTTGGGGCAACTGGAATTTTTTTTAATATTAAATTGAGTTTTCGCCTATGTGGGTATCCATGTGAGAGGCATCGACTATTCTGATCAATTCACCGCCCAGCACGAGACTGGCTATGAGTCCTTCAGCCTTGATATGTCCCTTCAGGGCCACCATACATGAGACCCGCCTTGCAGACTGGAAATGGCCCATCCTGTTACCGAAAGATGACCCTTGACCCCGAGTTCATGGAAAGGCACCCAGCGTGCGCACTTTCGGGGCTATCAAAGCATCACCAACCTTCATAACCAATAACATTATGTCTTGCCGCGTAACTTATACTACGGATGGAGTAATTTAAAAGGCAATCGTTTTGAGGTCAAGTTTCCAAGTTTGTGCATTGTCTTGTGAACTTCGTGCGTGATGTGACAGACGATTCCCTGGTACCCATTACTTTCCGAATCTTAGTGTGGAACTTCCCATTATACACACGAGTGTAAACCAGCGATAGATAGGTCATCAGAATTCTGTTTTGTTTTTTTCAGTGAGACGAGTTTATTTTTCGGGACAATTTTCGCACTCACTTTGATTTTAATTCCGGCTTTGGCTCCACTAAGAGCATTCACGTTCTGAAGTTGGATGGTTGAACGGGGGAGGGTCCTTTAAAAGTTTCTTTTTTTAATGTAGGCTTAGAGATTTTAGAGACTTCGCGTTAGTTCCGTGTGGTACATGTACAATGTCGGGCAATGTTTATTTTGTAAGCGATTTCGTTAATTCGAAGAGGTTGAAAAGTACGTAAAAGTTGAGAACCGAAACCGAAGCTTGAGAAATTGCCTGAAGCAGCCAGACCGCACAACTTTTTTTTTGCACAACTTGGATTTTAAAAAAATCATGTTCTTTTGAGAAATTGACGAGGTTGCTGCACCCTTTAAAGAAATAAAACGATCCTTTGTTTGGTTTAAATGGATCTAATGTAAAGTTATCCAATTCGTGAATGCATTTACCCCCTTGGAGGCAAACCTTTTCGCGGGAAAAAACTCAGTGACGTTCGCGGTTTTGTGAACACTGTCTGAGCGATCCGGCTCCTTGCCTGTACTGTGAAAGGGAACATTGATCGCGTGGCCTCACAAGGCGAAACCACAAATATGCATGGAATTACGCGCCGTAGTTCTCAAGCGCATCAAAAGGGTCCGGTTTAAGAAGGGGAGGTACACCCAGCTTAGATCCTTTACCAAAAATGGAGGGAATTTCCCTGGAAAAGATAAGTGGGGAAAAAATCATCATAAAAACTGCAAGCTATTATATTTTTATGTCGGTCTTCATAAAATTATAGTTTCAGAAATTAAGAATGACGTAGGCCTATACTTTATTGTTCTCAAACCATGGAGGAATGCTCAAACTGTGACACACTCATTTTTTAGTCCAAAATAGCCACATTTATAAACTTGAAGTCTATTATGACTAATTTTTTTTAAAAAAGTCGGTTCATAATTGTTTCGTTATAACGCTTTTAAGCTGTGTGATCCTTTCATTTCTGTGGGCCCACTCATAATACTTAATTCAAGTTTTCTGAAAGCTGAACGGCCAATAATACAGGTCGTATCATATATATGCCCTGTTAATTCACGCTCCCTGTAGTTCATCGTTGATAATATCACCCACCAAATATTGGCCTACTTTGTTGTGTAAACAAGCGTGACCTTCGGATCGGAAACTGCCTTGTTTACGTTATACACTGTATAGAATAAAACAAATAAAGCAAGTCACCCTGGCCTAGAGCAGAACAGAGACTCTCCCACATAAAAAGAATGAAAAACTCTGTTTAATACTGTATACGATGAGCAAGCCACTGCAGGTGTATATTTTAAATGATGTATAATTGACTTCTATATTTTGAAGTGTAAAAATCAGTAAACATAATTGTAGTGGTTATTTTTTGCTGGAATAAACCATTTTTGATAAAGTCTATGCCGGGGCAAAAACCAACAGTGAGTAAGTAATCTTCTCGACTACAATTTCCATCAACATTTTTTTGATCCTTTGTTTGGCCTATGTTCTGTTGTCAATAAAATTTACATTCGCACACTTGGCAAATTTGATAGGCCTAAGAAAATCCCTTGTTTTTACGTCGTGACCAGCGTGTGGCCTACAGCGGTTAACGCAAAGGAGTGCATCTTTATATACAATGATCGGAACTTTCTGATAACCCCCATCCATTCCCGGATATATTCAATTCAGGACCGCGATTTCCCTCACTGCGCCCCGGCACAAAGTGCCGACCCGAGTCCGGCCGGGAAAACTGCCAAGTTTGTTTCTCACGGTGTAGGGGCGGCCCCGTCGAATTCTTTCTAAACTTCGGGTGAGGCCTGAACAAAAATAATTTCCACCTCTTGCATGTCGCGCGCGCCGCAGTTACTTATGCAAACGAAATTTAACACAATTATTTAGCGAAACGAAAGTTTTTTTTATGGCATACTCCTCACGATTTTCGATATCTACTTGCTGAACGTTTCAAGAAAAATCAAACACTGACATCATTAACTTAAACTTTGAATTCTCCTTGATAATTCCTCGATTTTTGCGATAATTATTGCTGCGATTTTTTGGTGATGAATACATTTTAAATTGTGAATGATGGTTAACTTCCCATATCCGATACGGACCTAAATAATTCGCGGTTATAACATTGTGGGAGACATTAAAAACCTCGAAGGAAGTTATTTTAAACAGCGACAAATAATTGAGTTAAGTCAGTTCATAATATAGAAAATGCCTATATGGTGAAATCCAAAAATCCCTTCAAGTTCCATCTTTTGTCCATTTATGCCTACATTTTACATGAAATCTGAAATAACTGCTTGGTATGGCTAGTTATATATTTATATAATTTGATTCGTTGAGGTATATGAGGGAAGTGTTTGTGTGTTTGTAAGTTAGCCTCTAGTACAATTTGTAATTCTTGGTGCTTTTTTATTTTCAGTTGCTATAATAGTAGGCATTTTTAAATGAATGTAATATTTCTGTATTACATACATAATTTCATCATAATTGGGGCTTACAATAATTACAGCAAGTATATTTTGTCTATAGTTAGTCATGTGTGCAATTCGCATCGTGCATCATTAGAAATAAACTCGAGTGCATAAATATCGCTGGGTTATTTGGAGCTAGTGAATTTTCCCGTTGCAAATCCTGGCGTGGTTCCCTGCTTATCTTGGCAGAGTACCAAGTCCCATTCGATAGTGCGCGGCGCGGCAAACAGTTACGCACGAGTGTGTGACGTCATTCCAAAACATTACTACGGTGCATGGTCCGTACGCATATTCAGAATACACGATACGACTTAGGACTGAACCACGGCGTTCTGAGCTCTCAGGATTCTTCAATTCTATCGAGGAAATACTTCACTTTTTCTTATATTTATCAACCGGTGTGTTTATCAACTATGGAGAATACGCTGAAGACACTATCGGCGTTATTATTAGTGTTACTGGTGGTCTGCTTAACAGGAGTTAGAAGTAAGTATTGGTCAAAATATTTTGTCTTGTTTTGAGTGTTTGGGGTCGAGCGGAGGTGAGTGCACGAGGGCCGGCCCCACCATTTCGGCGCGACAGTAGTCGCGTTTATCGGGCACGGCTCGTAGGACTTAATGTTCATTTTAGATTTCGAATAACTCGATATTACATTGACATAAGCTATGAGAATTTGAATGAAGTATTTGTAAAATGTTTAGCAGGTTTGGTTTGTTGAAATGTGCCGTAAGTAACGCCTTAAGCCTTAGCCAAGCAATGAAGCTTCACATTTTGCCGGCCGGCGTTTTTTCCCGACCTAGCCGGTTGTTGGGCATCTTGCCAAAGCTGTTGCGACGGTTCACTGTTGGCAGGTTTTCCCTTGTCATTCGGCTGTGTACCTGTCCCCTTTTCGTCACATTTCATAATTCAACATGATAAATCAACTTCAAACACATTGTCCACGTTGTAACCAACACATTTAATCTTGTTTTTAGGTCAATGTGGACCCGACCAATTCAAGTGCGGGAACGGAAAATGTATCCCACAAATTTGGACTTGTGACCAGGAAGACGATTGCGGCGATTCTTCTGATGAAGCTGACTGTCGTAAGTATTTTTTTGTTCCCCCCCTTTTTTTTTTTAACTCTTTGTAAACTATTGAAGTACTTTTGTAGACTAGACTAGAGCATGAGATTGATATTTATGTTGAATGTAAACAAACCAATTTGTAACAAATGTAGCAAAATTGCCGCGCCAAAGCTCTTTTCTAACATTCATTTTGGTAGACTGTCACACTCCTCGGTTTGAAATGTTTCGAATTTGTTCACATTTTTGAAAATTTCCAAGGGTTTTTGTTGATGTTATCTTCGTTTGTTATGTTTATTCCATTTATGGGCTTGGCCGCTTTTTCGTTGTGCCATATCACTCAGTCACCATTGATTTAGAAGGGAAAAAACATGCTGCAGGGTCGTAGTAAAAATGCCGGGCGTGTTGACTCAATGTTATGATTTGGCAGGCAACTAGCGCGTCCCTGATTGGCTGGCTGCCATTTGTGATGATGTATTGCATTTTGTGAATCAGTGGGGCGATGCGTCATGAATTATTCATGTTGTGGTGTCATGCGATTGGTCAGTCATACATCGACTGAGGCCGTGCGACCAACTGGGTGGCTGGGCTGATGGGCTTGGCTCATTAGTATGCAGGACTTGGTAAATAGTGGCGTGGTCGTCTATGCAGGCGATTATTCATGTATCATGCTGTGTCATGTCATGAATTTGTTCAAAAGGCTTATCTCTCGAATTTTTGTTTAGGATTAACAGTGAAGAATTCCTTGACTGATGAATAATTTTAAAACCCAAGAATACAAACAGATTTCAGGCTGAGACAGAAAAATCAGTATTTTTTTTTTTTTTTTACTGATTATAAATTAAACTCAGTCATGCAACGTCATTATGTTGTTAATTAATAAAGCAACTTTCGGCTTTATATAAAAAAATTATTTACTTTGAAAGTTTTAAGACAGTTTTACCATATTTGGTACTGAAACGTGACCCTGTTTGCCCCCTTGCCGACCCTGTTATGATGAGTAAGGGGTGGGAAAAGGAAATAGGTTCTTAAGCAGACTCCATGCTGACTGTCTGGAAAAACCAAGTCATCCAATTGACCTCCGGATACTACATAAATGAGCCCCCTTCCTTGGGTTGTGTTCTCTCCTTCAGTGTTTTGATAGGAGTTTATGTTAAGGACTTTGGTTTTGACCTTGTTGCCAAAAACATATCCGACCTCGCAAACGGTGATGGAAAAATCTTGTGGGGAATCATACAGATGAATTCATTTGTATGCCCATGCGTTTAATCTCAAAACTCTGTTAACAGAATATCACAGTGAAATTAAAACCCCTTAAAACTAGTTATCATTTTAAGATCGATTACAAACATGGCTTTTAAGCTTAAGCCTTACTACTGAAGTATTTTTTTGAATGAAGTTAATCTGCATTAAGATTTTGAAGATAAAAATACTAGAGTAAACAAACGTGTTTTACCAAAATCCAAGTTAACCTTTATTTAGTGAACTGACTGCAGTTGATCCTTTGCATATTACTCATTAACCCTACTTGTCTATAGTATTATGGAACTAAAACTAAAGAAGTCAATTCAACATTTGGTTTTCCTATTCCCAGAACCAGCTCTTGTTAATCTCTTAGCTTTTTCTTAGAACAATACAGTGTATATACAATGAACTAAACAATGAAACGATGTAAGTAATGCACATGTAAACTGCCCACCCAGTGGCTAGGTAGACTGCTTAATTGTTAGGTATTGTAAGTCAAGAGATATGTGGGCCTATACCTAATCTGCTTGACTATAGTACATGTATTTAGTTGGCTTACCATAACCACCCTGTGGTGGTTTTCTAAAAAAGTTCTGGATAAGTTTGTCAAAAATGGGTTTTGGTGCAGTTTCAAAAAGCATCAGTGTGCTGAATTTCAACTACTGAATAAAAACCAAATGGCGGCTTCACTGTGACCTTTATACATACCAGTGCAGTAACCCTTGCCATACTACTGGCTATTTACATACATGTACATGGCACCACGGAAGTCTACGCCCAGTTTTACATGGAAATCTGGGTTTGCACAGTGGTTCCTCACACCCTATTTACATAAAAAGGAACCCATGCATGGTGTTTATTGTGGGAACAGCTCGCAATACTTCAACCCTTGTGCAAATTTCCTGTTGGTGGGGTGCTGTGGCTGGTACCTATTGAGAGTTTGGATTCATTTTTCAAAGGGTCTATGTGTTGTGGTATGCCTTGGTTGTATTGTACTGGGATTACGGTGAATTTAAGAGGCTTACAGAAATTTAAGATTGACCAAAATAGTATTTAGCAAAGGAACTCACCCGTCACAAAAAAAGGTGAACATTTTTCCTGAATAATTTCACGTAATTAGGGGGAATCGTGAACGAAATAAAACTTGGGTTATCCAGGATAAAACAAGTCACATTGATTCAGAAATGTGAAGTATGTTTCGCCCTGATTTTGAGACAATCAGAAAAGTTCTTCTTAAACTATCATCAGTCTTTTAAAGTCTTTTAAAAATGGTGTTTTCTTTTGTTTGTTAAATAATATGTGAAGTTGTGAAGTTTAAACATTTATAGAAAATAAAAAGCCACAGAAAGTTGGCAAATTCTGATGGTGGGCATAGCAGCCATCCTGTTGTTGCAAATGCTTGTCGTCTTTCATGTATCCCACACTGCCACGCATCAGGTGATGGACATGTAATCCCAAGATGATTTTTTTGTGAACGGGTTGCTCTGCAAAGAAACAGCCCCTGTGAAAACATGTTCAGTAATTAAATGGCTCTCATCCAAAAAAGGACCTACATCTGAAATCATAGTAAACTTGTGCCCACAGTCAATTAATTAGTGACCACACTTCCATGCTGATACAAATCGGCCATTCTGATTGGCTCGTGCTGCATAGTCATAACATGGCATGATGTGTCACTGTATGCACAATTTGGCCAGGTATCAAAATGAACTAGTTTGTTCAGGGCAGAAGTCAGAAAAAAATTTCATGCTCTTGCAAGAATAATACGGCGTTCTGGCTTTATTTCAAAATTTGTTTTTGACCAAACTGTAATTGTCGTTAAGATTTGATGAAATAAAATCAACAAGCTTAAATAAATGTGGTTGGGGAAAAAGGTCTTTTGAGCCACAAGAAACAAGACTTTTATTTGGTTGTCCTGTTGATGAAACAAAAGCATCCACCCTGGTAGGATGTCCATTAGATTGTGGTTTCTCCGCTTCTCTGCAAGCCTCATCCAATCACAGGCTTTATTCTCTGTGGTTTCAGCTCAGACCATCTCACAGTGGTGATGACTCAAACAAAATGCAAATTTCTTCCTTTCTCCCAATGTGTGGCTGCCTCTTAGCCTAGAGTTAATTGCCACGCTGATAATCACTAAATATATTGGATTTCTGTACTTACCATCAGCCTTTTCTGTTACAGCTTTGGTATTTTCTTTTTGCCAATAAGTGGTTGTGGTTGGAAAATAAATTAGGAATATTTTTTGGTTTTCATTTCACCGCCTCACTTAAACGAGGACAGCAGATTTTCATTTTGCCCGCAGAAAGGAGAAGTATAAACAATGAAAACAAAACAAAAAAACGCTTGTTGCATCGCCTGATTTTTTAAAGTAGCTTCAGACCTTTTTTCACCCCAAATCAACCCTAAAAAAGGATTGATTTATTGAAGACATAAAAGATTAACGATGAAAAGTAGACATGTATAAACCTATCCAAGTTTATGGACGGAAAAGGGTTGTATTTGATATAGCTGTTTATTTTACTTTCTGCTGGTATTTTAAATCATATACTTACTTGGAAGGATATGATTTCAAAGCGGAAATTTTTCATCATACTCGTAATTTAAAATAAAAATCTTGAAAAGCTGGTACTTTTTCCAGCTATTTTTTAAATGTGACTAAATTCCATCCGAAGGATTGTGTCCGACATCAAATGGCAAATACATAGAAATAGAAATTTTTTAAGGCAAAGTATCAACAAAGACTCTATTTTCAAATCATTCAGTGGTACTAATATCCATAAAAAGCAACAGGCTTTGTCTATATAAATAATGCCTGGAAATTGTTTGCAAGGGCAACAGCTGAATTGTTTCCTGTTTTCACAGGTGTGGCCCATTGATTTTGTTCCCCGCAGACGACACAAAAGTGACCTTAACCCTATCGTAACCTCAAAAACAAAAGACTTAGAAGGCTGTAAAGCTATAAATACCAATTCAATATTCGAAAATAGAAGCAAAAAAAAATCCCCGATTGATTTTTCAAACTTATTCTCAATGGACTCATGGTCAAATAGTTTTTGGTTTGAAAACAATTCTAGCATCCCTTCATTTACACCGATTTTGGGCCGAAACATGAGAATAACATTTTCTTTCCTTTTTCTAAGAGTGTTATTATTATTTATGTTTTATACCTTGTAAAGAATATAGCAGTTGGACCGCTGGGTGACTTGATCTGGCAAAGATGTTTGCGTTTTGCTATTCTTGCACACCTGGGAAGGACCAGGGCAGTGCAATATTGCTTAGCGTGCATTTTCACCGATTTTTTGGGGTATTCTTGGGAATTGTTGAGAAAATGGGAAAAACATCTGGATGGTAGGGGAAAGGGTGTTGCAGAATCAACATGTTGCAAGTTTACAGTGTTTGCAGATGTGAAATTTCACACCACCTATTATTTGGAGACTGAAGAATTTTTTTTTTTTTAAAGAAATGAAAAACAGAACATGTTTTGAAAGCTGGATATTTAACTTAATTTTGAGATTTTGGTCTTTGTAAGCTTCTTAAATTTTGCAAGACTTGTTGAGTGTTATGTTGGAAACAATTTCCGGTAATAATTTTGCAAAACAAACTCCAACTGAATGTCCTTGCAGAGTGAAATATGTTGCCATTCATGATCTGGCGATCACCACGTGGTGTGGCCAGCTCTTCTCATTCCACAAGGCCGAATGTACGCTTTCACACCTGCTGTAATAATAAGGGCCGCTTTCCTGCAGGTTGCCTGAAGGTCGTGGGTTCAGAAACACTAAAGGACAGGTCAGCACGTATATCTGCACCATGCTGGCGTTGTATGGTGCTGTGAAGTGCCGAAACACGCTGGGAATTGTGTTCAAGTGGCGGTGGGAAGCCTGTAAGGTGTATGGCCTCATACACTTGTGGCTCAATAAAAAAAAAATCCAATAAGGTTGAACGTGCCGAACAAGGTCAATTGATATATTTCATGGAAAATAATGCAAATTTTGTGAAAATGAATTTCCACAATTTATGCAATCATTTAAGTGTAAATTATTTAAATTTAATGTTAAATTTGGTATGTTGAGGGATATTGGATCTGATAGAATTATTTTTTTATTTTATTGGACCCCTTTAAAACAAATTGTTGATGTTGGTATTTTTGTGTGTATTTTACAGCACCCAGAACATGTAGTTCTACAGAGTTTGAATGCAGGAGTGAGCACTGTATCCCAGGAAGATGGCATTGCGACGGTGATCTAGATTGCGCTGATGGTTCCGATGAGGACGCCTCTCGATGTGGTAGGTTTATCCCTCCCCCATCGATTCCCCGCCCACAATTGAAATACTCCCCAGATATACATGGCACTAATACAACAAGCCTAATTTAAATCAAATCTGTTAAAAAATGCACCACTAAATGTATGCCAAAATTGTTGAAAAGCAACACGTGCATGATGGCATATTATGTGCAGAGATTTGATTTCAGAGTTTATCAAGAGCTTTATTTACTAGGAAATGGGGCAGACAAGTTTGATAAAGACTCTATTTGCAATGTTTTAATCTTATCGCAAAAACATAACGCTTTGGGACGAGTAGTTAAGTATACAGGACGATAAGTTTGTTGATAGTTTTGATACCTCCCAGAGTTTTCGAGTTTGACCCAGTATTGTCTCCCATACAAATTATGTTGACTGTTGTGCTTATAAATTCCAAAGTACAGTACCTTGACTTTGTTATTGTATCTCTGTCTGTTTAGTGCAGTTTGCAATATTTAACATGAAACTAAAAGGCCCTCATTCTGTATGCGCTATTTCGAACCCAAATAGAACACGTCAAAAAATGGACAAAATCTGAAATAGATTTCTTTCCGGAATGAATAGTTGCAACCATTTAGTTCAAACTCCTGTAAACAAAACATGTGTAGCTGTTGTTTACAAGTGCCAGTATTTTACCTTCAAGTGTTCCTGATAAAAACCACAGCTTCCAGTGCATGATATGCCCCTCATTGCTAACAGCAAGCTTGAATAAAAAAAAAGTCCAACTTGAGGGAAAACTGAAAAACCTGTTTTTGTGCAAATGTCCCATCGTGAACGGAAGAAGAATTAGGCCTCTTTCGATGCCCCCTGGTGACGTTTGACCTACCGAGCTCACCTTACCCTGGAAATGAACCTGTCTCCCCTAGACCCTTTTACATTGAGAGGCCGCAAGGGGGAAACGCATACCGATGGAAGCTTTGGGTCACAAAACTCAACCTTTTAAAAGGGTATGGTGGCAAAATTCTGCCAAACCGATTGGAAATGTTAATAAACGGTTGACTTGCTTTGCTTAATAAATTCAAAACTCCATAAAATTTGGGATCTGTGGGTTTCCGGTTTGATAAAAAATGGAACCAAACTACCAAAGATGTATTGTGCGCCGGTTTCCTGTTCTTTCTCGAAATGGATTTCAGGTTAAACTTTTGAACTTTGTGACTTAATAATACATTTCAATAAATGATGGAAAGTGATCATATAATTTTTCCCAGCAAGTAACTAGGAACATTGGTTGTTTGGTCAAAACTTGCTGTTTCACTAGTTTCATAAATGCATAGATAGTTGCTACTTGCTAGCAGATTGGTCATTCCGTATAATTCTCCTCATTGAAAATTAACACTAAAATAGCACATTCATTTCCCGTTCCCATAAATTAAAAAAGAAATCTTCCTGGAAGATGGTTTATTCTGAGGAATATGGTTTGGAATATTTTCCTGGTCACCTATTTTTTTTTCCTTTCTAATTTCCTCTTGGTCACCCCATCTACCTGCATACATAAAAAGTCTGACCCTAGCCCAACGCACTTCTACAACTAATTTAAATGCCATTACTGCAACTCAATGACGTTCCCAGGCTAGTCTGTCTAAGGGGGCTGGCTCTGTTAAGGTCACTCGTGATGAGTTTCCCAGCTAGTTGTGGAATGGCATGATGTCTGGCCACTTACAAAATAAATTGCGTTTCAAGGTTTTCAAAATCTAGCCTGAATTTTGACCAGGAATTACTGAACAAATTTGTTAAACTTAAGGTTTATAATATTGACCTGTTCTGTGGAAAAAGTTCCATTTCATTTACTACACAATGTAATCAGATTGGAAAGTATTCACTATGTGAAGAGTTTTGAGGAAGTTTTTCAGACAGTTTCCATGGTTGGGCATTTTGAAAAGAATCCCACAATCCCAACCTGCAGGGCACTCAAACCGCAATGCACCCTTTTCAGGGAAAGAAATGAAAAGTTTGCAAGCCCTTTTGTTAGTCGTTCTTGCGCATAAATTCCAGCTCTATTGATATTCGTAATGAGCTGCCTGGTCGGGCCAGGTGCTTTTGTCGGCTGTACCTTTACAAAAAATGCAAATCCTTTGTAGGGGATTTTAGTAGAGTATACCTTATATGTACGTGTATGTATGACGTACATGTACATGGTGCTAATATGGACATTGCATTGCACACAAAATGCTGGGTCATTCATACTAGTGTCTGGAATTAATCCGCTGTGGGAATATTGACTCTTATTCACTTGCCTCAGAGTTGACATAATAAAAGGATTATTTGAAATGTACTGGACGAATCATTAACCTTTTCCCTACTTAAATTTGTAAAATATTGTTTTGTAAAATAATTGACAATTTCAGTCAACTCGGGCCATTGAAGCAAGCAATAGGAAACACAATAGGAAATTTTGTTAAACAATTTTTTTAAGATCAACCGTGACAGGGAAGTTAATACTCTGTGAAAATTTACAGGAAAAGATCAAAGAAATGGTGGGCTGTATATGTGTGGGCGTTAACACTCTTGAAAAGGAATGCAATGTTTAGAATGATTATGCTTGCCTGCTTCTGGTCAGACATTACATAACACTTACCTATGCAGATGAGGTGAAAATATGGCATGATGGGCTGTTCAGTTTATGGTTGGGTGGCCCACGGAATGTCAACAAACTCACCAACTGTTTATTAGTCCTCTGTATATTTTAAACACCTGTTGAGTTTCCCAGCTAGAAAATAAAATGTGCATGGGAAAATTTCAGTCTAAATTCTCCCTGGAATTGTGTATTTTAGGGGTTTTTTGGGGGGGAGGAGGGCAGTGGAGGTAAAGATGGCATATAAAATCCACCTTTTTTAAAAAGTAGACCAAGTTGAATTTGTTCTCACCAAAGTAAAATAGTAGTAACCACTGGGGAAAACGGGGATTTGTTCTGTATTTGTGAACCGTCACCAGTGCTGCTTGCTGATTGGCCAGATTGTTGAGCAAATTTGCATCAGACCCAGACAATTCAGCCCAGTTATTTTTGCTAGTTCAAGTGTTTTTACCATACTGTTGTGTGAATGGTGCTAGCGAAATAGGATAATTGCTGGTAAAAAGTACAAGTTCGGGGTGGTTCAATAAACTTTCAACGCTGGTTTTCCAAAATATTGGACACATTTGTTCACATAATGATTAAGCAATACTTGATCAAGCCTAAAAGACTGATGTTTTTAGATAAAATATTTTCATTGCCCTAAATTGTTAAAAAAGCGAAAACATAAATAAAACAATTTAACAACCAAATTGATAGAGACAAAAGATGTGAAACTGTAATCATGTTTGAGTGGTTTACAAAATTTAAAATGATCATAACCAAAATGATCATAACCATATCCTTAATAATACAGCAATCGATTATGTTATTATTCAGATTTTATTTTTGTTTTTGGCCATTGCAGCCCAAAAGACCTGTCGAGCCGACCAGTTTAGTTGTGGTGAGAGTAGCACCTGCATCCCTAGGGGCTGGGTTTGCGATCATGATCTGGACTGCGAAAACGGCCTGGATGAGATGGATTGTGGTAAGTAAATTGTCTTTTTTTTTTTAGTCAATGTTTGGCTGTCTTGAGACTTCCCTTAAAAAATTACATCAGTTTTTCTGTTTGACCTGCCTGCTGAAAAGTATTCCCCCATCATATAAAATAGTGATCTTTCATCCGTAACAGAAAAAGTACTTTTAAATCGGCAGCTGTTCTATAAATTGTCTGTTGCATAAGGTAACTTGATATGAACATCATCAAATGCTTTAACAGGTTGTTTTACGATGTACTTTTGCATGTGTTTGTTGATGGTTTGAGGGAAGTTACAATTGAATTTAACATTTGAAATTGCTTGAGTCCGTTCTGTCTTCATGTTAATGTCAAGTGAATTTCAAGATGTCGGTAATAGTCATTTCATGGAGACGTTTATTTAGCTGTGATTCTTATAATCATCTGAATTTGATCTGTTGTTCATTTGCAGCCGAGGTGACGTGCCCAGCCAACGCGTTCACATGCAGCAACCAGAAGTGCATCACGATCCGCTGGCACTGCGACCACGAAGATGACTGCGGTGATAACTCCGACGAGCAAGGTTGTCCGGAGCCCACCTGTGCCCCGACCGAGTTCCGCTGCAACAACTCCTTCTGTATCCCCCAGCGCTGGGTCTGTGACGGGGACAGTGATTGCTTGGATCACTCAGACGAGCCGGCTTCGTGCGAGGCCACGCCCTCCACACCTTGTACTAACAGAGAGTTCGCTTGCTCCAACGGGGATTGCATTCACGAATCGTGGAACTGCGACGGAGATAGGGACTGTGTTGATGGATCCGATGAACTTGATTGTAGTAAGTATAATTTTACTAAAAAAAGTAATTTTTAAGAAATTTCCTTGAAAAAAAATTGTTCTAGTATTCAAAGTTCTGTTAGTAACAAGTCAGATTTGGAAAAACTTCCTTAAATTGATTCTTCGTGTTTTAATTGATTGATTGATTAATAATTTGTACGTCTTTTTCCCGCAACCTTCCAGGACTGGAGACTTGCGCCGGCTTCCAGTTTACATGTGACAATGGCATGTGCATTGATGGCTCCAAACAATGCGACTCGGTGCATGATTGTGTTGATGGTTCTGATGAGACCGGGTGCTCTGGTAAGTTTTTCAGGAAGAAATCAAATTTGTTGAGAAATTTATCAAATTTAGGCAAAACTTTAACTAGGAATTGACATTTTCGCTGTTCATAAGATCATATTGAGATGATATAAGAAGAGATTAGTTTCAAATTCATAAATGGGAAGTTTGGGGGTTTAATTTATCATAGTAATAATAAAGAGTAAAACTAATTAATTTGTGTTCACATTCTTTTTCAGTACCTTCTAGTCAATGTCAAGAGTACACTGAGTTTCAGTGCCCCAGCGGAGTCTGTATTTCAATGGACCGAGTCTGTGATCAGCAGAACGACTGTGGAAGTTGGGAGGACGAACCAACGGGCAACGTTTGCTGTGAGTTGATTTTTCTGATAACCGAAGGGTTGAAGGAGATATTGTACCTAAGCCTATCAAATGTCCCGTCAGAAGTAAATCACAAGTCAGTTCACAAGTGCGATCACAAGTAACCGGGCATGAATATTATGAATATTATGAATATTATGAATATTATGAATACGTGAATATTATGAATACATGAATATGAATGTATATAATTTTTTTCCGGCTGATTGGAATAACTTGTTACTTGATTTGGAACTGGATGAGTTGTGATGGACTTGTGATAGAACCGTAGCGACAAGAGATCGCGTCTTTAAACCAGGGAAAGGGGTTGACAGTTATTTTCCAGTACATCTCAGGTTGTAAAGCTGATAATTATCGTCGTCGCTTCCTTGCTCATTATTGTAAATATGAAAATGGAGATATGTAGATACATTTGTTAAGTATTGGAAGTATTTTGTAACAAACTTTTTATTTGTACTCACTTAGATACCAACGAGTGCGATGTCAACAAAGGTGGTTGCCATCACGACTGTACCGACCTCCCAAACGGTTTCTACTGCTCGTGTCGTTCCGGCTACGAGCTTATTGACGGCCGCTGCAACGACATCAACGAATGTAAGACCATCCCTGGTATCTGTAGTCAGCGCTGCGACAACCTAGAAGGTCACTACAAGTGCACCTGCGACGACGGCTACATCCTGGAGCACAACACACACTGCCGAGCCACGGGACCTGACCCTCTGATCTTATTCGCCAACCGACATGACATCCGGTCCTTCGACGTCCATACCCGACTCTACAGGCCGCTGTACTCCAACCTCGAGAGCGCCGTGGCTTTAGACTTTGATGTTCAGTCTGATTCTCTCTTGTGGACTGACGTGGCTGATGAAAAAATCTACGTGTAAGTATTAATCAAAATTTCCATCGATGTACATATTTTTTCTCAGTATTGCATGATTTCCAAGTCGTTTTACAGAGACTTTTTGAACACTAGTGCAAAATTGCTGCACGATGCCACAGCAAATTGTCTTGGTATTTCTGAAGCGGTTTTGTTTTGTTTTTGAGTTTTTCTGAAGGTTTAACGTCTCTTGTTTTTCTTCAGGGGTGATTTCCAGGCTGGCACGAACAATCCTATCGCGCTCATGGACCGCGTCGAGACTGCTGACGGAATCGCCATGGATTGGATCTATCGTAAGGTCTACTGGACCGACACTGGTAACAACTCGGTGGGCGTGACATGCTTCAACACAGGAGACACGAAGACACTCTATACTGAAAACATCGACGAACCAAGAGCAATTGTCGTGGATCCAGAAACTGGGTAAGTCTACTATTTTCCTTCATTTTTGCAAAGTGTACCAACAACTTTGTATTTATTTCAATTAAATTCAGTACCTGATCTCCATGGAGGAGATTTTTCATGAATGTCTCCCTGAAGATAGTAGAGTAGTTACCAAAGATCAGCCTTGAGATATTGTAAATAAATGAGTTTCCTTTGATTGGTTATCCTGATGTGTGTGGTGTTTTTTTTTAACTTCCAGGTTTATGTTTTGGACTGAGTGGGGACAGAAGCCGAGCATCGAGAGGGCAGGCATGAACGGCAACTTCCGTTCTTCGATCGTTACTATCGAGATACAGTGGCCCAACGGTATGGCCATCGACTATGCAAGTGAGATGCTGTACTGGATCGACGCCAAGCTACACACCCTCAGCACCGTAGATTTCAACGGTAACAACCGCCGCACCATCCTGGAGAGCCACTCCCTCCTGCCTCACCCGTTCTCCATCTCCGTCTTCGAGGACCACGTCTACTGGACGGACTGGGAGAGAGAGTGCATCACGAGAGCGAATAAATTCACCGGCATGGATCGGGAAACACTCCTGACAACACTCTACTCACCCATGGATATCCAGATCTACCATCCGCTCCGTCAGCCAAACCGTAAGCATCAACTCTCATCTTCTCTTCAACTGAAACAGTCAGTTCCATTCAACTAGACAAGCTCTATCTTGTTTTGTTCAAGGAATGTTATAAATGTTCTACAGTGCTCCAAATGCCTTTCTTAATTGGCTGTTTGTGATTTTGTTGCAGGTACATCAAACCGTTGTGGAAGCGACAACGGTGGTTGTTCTCACCTCTGCGTCGTAGCTCCCCATATCTCGGAGAGCTCAGCTCCATACACCTGCCTGTGCCCTGACGGCGTAGATCTCCTTCCAGACATGCGTACCTGCCGGGGTTCCTTCCCCCAACCACCCCATGTTCCCGATGTCTCCACATCCAAGCCCCAGCCTACCGCCATTGTCAAACCTACAACCATGAGCAACGAAATACTGAAACCGGATACCAAGACCACAAGTCCCGACGACAACAACAACGTAGTGAAACCAAGACCACAAGAGGGAGACCACGACGGGCCCCCCGTCTTTGTTCCTATTGCAATCGGCATCTTTTTCGTGCTGTGCGTTTTGGTCCTCATAGCTGTTGTTGTCTACAGGTGAGTGCCATATTGCCAGTTGATGATTTGTTCACAATGGCTGCTTGTGACTTGTGACTTCACATTCTTCCACACTTCTAGTATGCATGCCGTTAGTTTGTTGACAAACTGGAATTTGCTGATCAATTCTGGGTACAGAATCAATTGCCTCAATTTGGATGGATTTAAAATTACACTATGCTATCTGAGGGGGTACATCAGCTTACGGGTGCCATTTTGTCCATATATTTGCTCGCAGTACACAAAGAAAAGTACTTAAAATCCAGTGTATTTTAATTCAGTCTTCTTATTTTGTTTTTTTTCTTATTTGCAGGAAATATTTCAGAAACTCAAAGCGCACCATGCATTTTGACAACCCCGTTTACCGCAAGACGACAGAAAACCAGTTTTGTTTATCACAGCCTAACGCTTACGAGCACAACCCAGGAGGAGGGAAAGCTTACAAGCCTGTAAGTATCTCACAGATTAACCTTATCTTACAAAAGTCTGATTTTGTACCAAGTACATGTATGTCAGTTTTTGCTGTAATGTCTGTACAATGTTCAGGGACACACTTGGCTCTGTGCCAGGAATCAACTTGATAAACCCTTACCTTAGGCTGGTGGCTTCTTAACCAGATCACATCAGCAGGTGTTTTGGGATCTCAGGCCTCTAGCAATAAGATCTTTCTTTTGGTTAAGTTCTGTCAGTGCTGCTGTACATGCTTAAAGAAGCAAGGATAGTTACATAACCAAAGGGTCTGGGAGTAGAGGAACACAATTTTCTAGCAGGATCCATTTCTAGTTTTTGGTAGTAATATTTTCCCCCAAAACAAGAGTAAAAGATCCTTCAAAAGTGTTTTGACGATTTCTTCATTTTGTTTACATTTCGGATTTTGTTTCCTTTTACAGATAATGAATCCAGATGATGTAGCATAGCCTTCTTTGAGAGTTGAAGAAAACTAGGATTCGTCATTGATGCAATCGAGCCAGCATCTTCGCAGGCATGTTTCTTGTAAATAATTATTGTCTTCACTTGTCGCTAGAATTAGAAATTCAAAATCTATAAAAAAAAAAAAAGCTAAGAAAAAAAAAATTAGAGTAGGGTGTAAGCGGTGACACATGGAGATTAAGAATGGTGTGCAAAAAACTTTGATGCGTTTTTTGTACATTTGAACAAAGGAAAAAACTTTTTAAAATTGTGGTTAAAAAGTCTGTAGAGAATAATAGATTAGAAAATGTTAGATCAGTTTGTAGGATAGTCTAGAAAACTTGTGGAAATTCACTTCAATTGCATTGATGACGAAACTAGGTAATTTAAGGAACATATGTATTTATTATTTGGAAAGGAATCTATTTTGGACACATCAGAGTGCAGTCAACACTGGGAGGAAATACTCCACAGAACGAGTTTTTATTTTCGCTTCTTGAAAGATGCTTTTTTGGGTTTTGTTTGTTATTGCTCAAAACGGAAGAAAACAAGATTTAGTTGAATGTACTTTGATTTGTATCAAATGAATTGGGGGCGGTGGTGTCGCTGACGTCATTGCTATCATGGAAGAGTTGCGATGGGGTACCATGACACGTTCCTCCATGACCACTCGCTAACCATGAGGCGGAAGATTGGAGAACTGAACGAAGAAAACTAAAAAAAGAAAGAAATACGAGCCCCCTTTAGCCAACTCCTTGCAATACAATAAAATGCTGGTATATTACGCTAGGTGCACCAGCGCAAGAATTGCTATTGTATAGTTTATTAAAAAAAAAAAAAAAATGTGTTCCTTATTATGCAAATGCAATGCAAAGAAGTGTTCATTGTGTATAGGACGATTATTTGTGCGTAATAAATTGAAAAGCTCATTCAAAAGCGGGCAAATTTCAAGAAATATTACCAAAGCAATGAAAGTTGCAGCACTTTTTGTTGACAGAATTTAGGCAGCTGAGATAGTTGTGGGATAAAAATGCACCGATTTAAGTAATTAATAGCATATCCGAAACACTGCACGCATGTAAATATTTTGTCAGTGTGGGAGGAAAATTTGAAATATATTAACACTTAAAATTTGGGGCAAATAGTATTGAAAGACACAAATCTGGTCATGGTAGTTTTTTGTTTGGCATTCTGGAGCACTTGGACGGGGTTTCAGAAATAAAAAACTAGCCAGTAACAATGAATCCTAAAGTACATCTTCTGTTGAGGCATGTGGTATGCTGAAAAGTCCAAAAAACTATGCAGTTAAAGGGTACAGTTTTTTGAAGGGTACAGTTTTTAAACCTGCCAAGCACGGTCGTGCCCTCTAGTCTGGTAGCGATTAGGCTGTAAAGCAGCACGTCTTTGATACCTGTACTTGTATCGACCAGATCAGTCGAGTACTAACTGTATTTGGGACTTGTTATTTATTATTACTTTACATATTGCAAATATTTACATATACATATTTATGATATAAATATATATATATGTTGTAGGAACAGTCATACACAGTAGCTTTATGTAAACATGCAAAGTCGTTTTTATTTACCGTGTCCATGATAAACAGTTTTTTTTTGGGGGGGGGTGAAAATCCCAAGTTATGTTGTTTTCTGGTGGCCCAGAAAGGCCATCGTATCTTATGTATATATAACCGCTTTTTGTTTTTTGTTTCATATGTACTCAAATTTGTATATATTATAAAAAAGAGATATAATTTTGTATAAACTGACATTTAAGTAGTGCCCTGCATGGAAGGAGGCCCCACAAAAAACCTGACGATTTTGTCAGATGTATTTATTTTATTTTACTTTAACTCTTTTTGTTGAAGTTATTTTCGTACTTTAATTTACTGCATGTCATCTCGCTAGTGTAGAAATGTACATGATTGTGGACGTGCACAGACTGCAGGAGTCTCTTTGAAATTGAGCAATATATTAGGAGATTCCTGCATCTGAAAGTATACACGTCTCAATCTCAAGTTGGTAGATTGTACATATGTAAATAGTGTTGTAGGTACATATTAAAAAAAAAACATCAGCATTGCTAGTTGGTGACCAAAAAAATGTAAAAAAACAAAAACCAGTAAAAAAAATTAGAATTAGAGTTTAGGAACCTTAGTGTTGATGTAGGTGTATAAAAGAGTGTATCAAGAACTTGTGAATATTGTATTTATCAGGAAATCGGAACCTTAAATATGACAAAGAGTTTGTAAACGTTGGAATTCTCGGAGGTGAAGCAGCAATGTTTCTGGACTGGCTGTTCAAAAACAAGCAGAAATATCTTCACTTTTGAAAGTTTGCAACATCTTTTCATGAGGGAGTTCATCATTCCGATGGCTGTATATAATAACTCCAAAAATATTTAGACCTGGGTCTGTTTTATTCTTTTCTCTCTTTTTTTTCCCTTCATTTTTCCCCCTACAAAGTTATCCTCTCTGTGAAGAGGCCAAGAAAGTTAATTTTAAGCAGCTCAGATAATTCCGAAAAGGATGAAGATTTTACTTTATTCATAACCAAGCAAAAACAGATGTATTTTTTGTTTGTTTATTCAGGACATTTTTCAGTTTTTTTTTTGTTTCATTTGATGATAGAAATTACCCAGAAAAGAGTTTTCTCTGCTCGCTCCGAATGATGCGATTAGTAAGACCAACTAGCCAGAGAGGAAAAGAAAGTATTTTAATTTATGTTTCTTTGTTTCTGATTTTGATGTTGTAATAGTCTTATATTTATTTAGAAATGTGATGTAGGATTCAATGTAAGAAGAAAGTGCACTTTTACATCCAAGAACATTTCTGTTTGGTATTTTTAGGCGATTTGGTTTTTTTCTTCAATTCAGTCCACTTGAAATCAATACTTTGTGTTGAAATTAATTTGCACTTTTCATGTCGAAATTATCAACTTGAATGTTCAGTTGGGAAAACAATGACATTTAAGTTCTGAGCGAAAACAAAGGGTTATACATTTCAAGAAGCGATTCCAAAGGTCTGTTTATATGTACAAAGATATTTGATACACAGTGTTTGGATGTAAATGATCATTTTCCTGAGCATTTTTTGACTATTGTAGGGAAAAGCAAAGCAATGTTGTGCCGCATTTTGTGAAGAGAATTGTGCTTATTTATTGTGATACCAATGTAAGAGGTACGTTTGACTGTACACGCACGAGTCCGTTGGCAGTGTCAAAGTTGTTTTTATAAACTTGAAAAAAAATTGGATGCAACGTTTCTGATTATGCGTAGTTTAAGGTTGTAGCATTTTTGAAAAGTTAATGTGCTCAAATGGTAGGGAAAAAACCGAACTGCCTTTAATTGTTAACCATCATTAGGTAATTGAAACGTCTAGTACCCAGACTGCAGCAGTGTAGACATAGAATTATGAAAAGTAGTCCGGGTCATTTATGGCACAATCCAAACGTACCGTGTTCCGTTCAGTCGGTTTTAACTGTCGTAATTCCAAGTGTGTGTAGTAAAAATTGATCCTTGAAGATTTGCAGATTTTACGGCTTCTGCTTCAAAGCACATTCAATGTCACTTGTGTGCATTGTGCTTAATCATAAGGGTACAATTTGCATTTCTGAAGCACACTATAAACGTTGATACCCTCCTTTTTTGAAAAAAAAACCACTTCGTAAAATCTCGGAAGTTGTACAATTTATGTCAAAACCGCAATATGCAGGAACAGAATTTTATGCTGGTAGAAATATGTCATGTGGTGTTTGAGAATTGCTGACCACAATAATGCGAGAAATCTCGTTTAATGTGTTGTAAATGTTTCGTGTTTTTGCTGAATGTTAACCGTAAATCCAACCATATGCACTTCACATGTTTTGGTACCTAACTTAGACAATAATTCTAATTTCTATGGTCGTTTCACAAACTTCATTGAAAAAAAGACTCCTGAAATTCCCAATCGAGAATTTTCTCTGCTAGCCGAGTTACATTTTACGGAGCCTTGAGCTGGCAAATAAAATTCTTCTCTTTTGTCCGAGTTGTTAAGGTACCAGCTTATATAAACGCCTACTATGTATAAAAGTGAAGAATATCGGTTATATTATAAAAGTTGGGATTTGTACAGTGTAGATTGCTCTCTGTTATTTTGTTTCATATAAATAGCCACCTTCCATCCACGTTATAAATAAATTTACAAGAAGAAAAAAAAGAAGATTTTGTTGATGCTTCTTCTTTGACCGAGTATGTCCGTTGATTACATTACTTATTAAATTATCTCGGGTATCGTTTTAAAGATTGGTTTAAAGTTTAAACACTTGAGGCTTTGAGTTGGAAAAGTAGTTCAGAGAAATTACCCACGCCAAGGCACTGACCCACTTTAGTCTCGTTAATAGGTATAATACGCGAACAATTCCACCCTTTGTTCAGTGGTCCCACTCCGCGTTTTTGTACGGTAGTGGTCCCCCGATTCTTTTTGTGTGAAACAAAGTTGGCAATGTTCCTAGTTTATCTTTTGTGTGGCAGTACCGCGGTGGTCCAGCAGGCATTGTTTGGCTGTGTTTTGGCTGCGAGTTCCCCATCACAACGGGGAAAGCACCCCCTACCTGACTACCTCCAGCACGTAGACACTTTCCTATTATTATTTTTCCAAATAATTAATAGAATTATTATAATGCGACTTGGAGTAAACTTCCGATTAAATTGTCAAATCGATTTAGTTGCAAACCAAACAAAGTTCGATTGACGTCATGCGCCACAGTTTGATCAGGTATGATCGAATGGTTTAATCTTCAAAAAGCATTTTATTCATTGATTCTTTGTTACTTTATCAAATTGTAATGATTTAGCTGCTAAATTTAAGCAGTGTGTTTGTAAGGCTTCACAAAATGAATTTTAAAAAGCTGGTAAGGCGATGACGTAATGCGGTCATTGCCCGTGTATGTAAAGTATGCCCAGGCTTTTTCCCGCTACAATTCTCAACGAACTCTTCATGTCGTGAACACTGAAAAATCGATACCGACATTTCATAGTGCATTTACCGAAACAGACTAATCGATAATTCACCCCACGACGTAAAACTTCATAAGGTATCTGGACACTCTATCTTTTGCCAATATCAACCACACGTCAGTTCACAGTTCTTTTATTCCCAAATTATGGATATGTTCAGTTTCGGTGACAGCTGCATGTCTTCTAGTACAAAAATTGCAGATTTATATTTCGAGTACCTTGTATGTATAACTAACATTAACTAAAGGCACATTCCGAATTTGATCGTTGTGACTTTGGATATTAACTAGCCGTGATAGAAACTTTTGTGCTCTTTGCCCAGCCTCGGCCGAGTGTCTTCTTTTTATCGATCCACGAAATTCGTTACCTTTTGTGCCATTTAAAAAAAGTACCAGTACTTTTTTCCCCCGTTGGTCAATATGAGCTCTCTTTGTTTGCAAACATCAGTCAGAGCAGCAGGGCGTAGGCGTAGCCAGCTTTTTTTTGGGGGGGGGGGGTTGTATTTACGGACATGTATTATTTTTGTTCACCAGTGCTTACCCCCTCCCCCCCAATAAGTGTAAAGAGTTCTTTCAACAAGAGCCTTTTCTCTGATCAAGTGCCCTTAAAAAAAGTCGTGCCCCTTTTTTTGGGGGGGGGGGTTGAAATCAGCTGTTTCGGAAGTTCTTTTTTTTAATTTTTTTTTTATTTAGCGCATTATTATCGTCTGTTTTGAACAGCGCCCCCATCTACAGATAATATCTCCTCCCTATTTGATTTTACAGAGGCCAAGTGTCCGGCGAAAAAAAGGGTGTTTACCGTTTTCAGCACGGATGTGCAAGTGCCCTTTTCAAGAAATTTCTACCCCCCCCCCCCCCCCCCATAAAACTTACCTTGCTGCGCCCCTGCTGAGCTGAATGGAGCCCAAACAAATTATTTTATACGGTTTGTGCGCGGCGGACGCGTCGACGGCAGACCGTTTCGTTCCCATCCGGTATCCCGAATATAAAATTACCGAAACAATAATGAAATGCGACAAATAGAATCATGAAAATAATGAAATTCCGTTTTCATGGAACACAAGCAACACATTCCTCTTGCACACTTTTGTCGACTAAAAGTTTCTGTCGAAAAAGGGCGCGCTAAACAAAATTAAAACAGTGGTCTCGCTCGCACATCATGCCTGACGACCTTTCAATAGAGGGCGCGCCACATAAATAGTGGTCACCACTGAAGCATCGACGTGACTAGCGACTCCGCACTACTCACTTTTCTTAAAAAGAACACGCGTTTTGGGTACTATAGGGGCAAAAACCGGATGTATTAAATTGAAATTTTGTAGAGTCATCATGATGTGTAACATTAGGGGATTTCATTTCATGAGAAACCGTCAAACAATATAAATAATATGACCGAAACAATCAGTGTTGGGCAAGAAATGGGAAATTAATAAACCAGTGCACAGCTTCACTATTTTACGGCTCAAAAGGGCCAAACGGGGATTATTCAGATTATTGTCATGGAGATCAGTGATCACCACACTTTCTCAATAATTAAATTTGAGAGATGCCAAAATCGAAAATTTTTAAGAGTACCTGGGATTTTTTTAATGTGATTTTGAGTCTTCGTCTGGATAGAAGGAAGGCCTAACTTAACTGACGGAGAGGTAGAGTGGGCGGAGCAATGCAAAATTGACAAGGCGTTGACAATCATTATAAAATTTAAAAATATGGATACAGAATGGTTATTCAGGTTGTCTTCATCACTTTGTTACCATGGTTATTCGCGCCGCTTTAAAAAAAACAAAGCGCGCCATCATCATCGATCGACATTTCTTTGCAACGAAAGTGCTTTAGCGCCCTCATGTGTTAAGATTCAGCAATTTGATCCATTTCAGGGGTATTCTGATAAATTCAAATAGCATAACTAAATAAACAAAAATCAAACATGTTTTATAATGATAAAAGGAAAATTGAGAGTAAGCTCTCGAAAGATTATCAATCAGGATTCTTTTTTGGAATTTTTTTGTCAAGAAAAAGGCAGATATTGTTCGTAATAGTTGTGAGCTATCCAGTTTTGAAGGTGATCCCTAGTCACTTTGCCAGCTTCACTACATGCGTAAAATGTGCGCGCGATCGATCGTACGGAAACTCTACTGATGTGCTGCATAACATAATGTAATGTGTGTGTAATATATGTTACTGATCTCGAAATCCTCGATGCTACTTTGGCCATCGGCGATCATAAAATTATATAATTACGCCCGACTCCTGCGTCCGATTTCCACCAATTTTGACAGGTAAAGAGTTGGAGTGTTGTCGTAAAGTAGCCTGTTTAAGTTTTGACTAATCAAGCTGAATTTGATGTCAGAAAAAAATCCCACAAATTTGGGTAGATGTTGTCAACTTTGACCTTGGTGTCCTGCAGATGTTCTGTACATATGTAGACCATATAATTTGTTTCACGAGTTGGTCACGGCATGGAGGTGGTTGTAATTTTGTATGATAATCATGATGAATGTGTACTGATGGGTGGACATGATGGATAGCATGACAAATTGTACTTTGGTCTTCAGAAAATGGTAAATTTGTAGACGAGAAAAGTAAGTGCAATCTGTCAACATGAAGTTGCTTAATCATTAATTGCCAATTTCATGGTCATGATGGTCATTGTTTTCTGAATGAAATATAGGCCGGAAAGAATGTAGTATCCAGGCGCCACTTCAGCAGTCGTGTACAAAGTATATGGAGAGTCAAGAACATTTTCTAAGTATTTCCTAACAAAATTGAAAACGTTCCTCAGATCCAGATTCATGTTTTTTTCAACATTTTTGTAATGACTGACCTTTATTGAGATTTATAATGAGGCGTCAGGTTGCAACATTCTTTCCTATAGGCCTACTTTCTGCAATTCTGGCTTAGCATCAACAGTAAGCTAACCAAGTCACTGCACAGTTGGGGGGGGGGGGGAGGATTGGTGGTTGCGTAATCGTAAAGGACTGTTCCTTACCCACGATGTAAGATAAGCAAATCTCAAATTGGGACATTTGTCTGTACATTTTACAATAAACGTACCAGTAGGTCATTTCTATTGTCTGCATGTTGGCTGTTGCTGTTGAATAACCTTTGACATTCTTCATTGACTCCTGGCATTCTCCTGATCCTGGTTACTATGATGAGCAGTTACGTACACATGCATATCATTATCGGCAACGTTAATATGAGTCTGAAGTTCATGTCCAGAGTTCGTCAATTCTCTGGTTCTCGCTGCCCAATCAGAGGCGACCATCAACCAATCAAATCATGGCTGATGGATGGAGTATGTACCCGATGGCATATGGAGCAGATACAATCAGCAAAGTCCGAAGTGTTCATTGCAATAACTGATAAACGATCTTCATTTCATTGAGATGGGTAAAGCGTATAGAATCAAAAGAATTGATGCTATCAAAATATTCTCCTTCCTGATAAAAGACAACTCTTGGAACGATTGTAAGATTTTACAATTGTTACAATCAGAGCTCTTTTTGACCGAACCAAATATTGTATGTACAGTCTGAAGAATTTGGGATTCTCAATATTGTGTATTTAAGACCTGAAACTTGAGCATTGAACCGTGTTTTATTGGTCAAATAGCAACAACCCAGTTATCTTGACTTGAAAAATGTGTTTGCTGCCCCCATTGTTCAAGAGAGATGCATAGAATGTGCCATTCAGGTCGGGCATTTACCAGAGTAAACCTGGTGCTTCCAAATCCACAAGGCAATTTTTAAAAAACTACTAAATCAAGTCGTTCGCAAATTACGTCGTATCCTGATTTACGTGTACTTGGCTATGGCCAGAATTGGCACTCGTGTCTTGAAGTGTCCAATGGCAGCCACAGTGAAGTAATTTGGATGGGACATAATTTTTTTTTTTTTTTTTTACAGCGCATGTGTGTGCATTGTTATAAGGATCTTTGACATCATATAGTATGTGAAAGAGAACTAGTAGCCTAACAGTACAGAATGCTGTGAATGACTGTCTTGTTGACATGTAGTGATCATTGTTAGCGAGAGATAATACTCCCAAATACAGTATGGTAACCAGGCTACTGTTGAGAATTGTTATAGTAAATTCTGAGTGGTACACTAGATACTATGCGATAGTGGACTAGTCTGTAGCTCAAAAGGTTTGCAGTGTTAGACTGTGTCGGAATGACATGGCTATGGCTTGAGACTACACACAAGTCTATGGCAGCGGCTGCAGCCACTTCTCATATACTTGTGTGTAATTCAAAGCCGTAGCCACGTAATTTGGACAAGGCCTTAGAATAGGCAAGGATTTTTGGGGGCTTGTGACAAGACTAAACATGGAGGTGTATCTGACAAAATACACTTTCAGAAGTGTATTTTAATTGTGTTGCTGATCAATTACTAAGTGGGGGGCGGGGCTGGAGGGTTGGTCTGCAAGGGGGTGGGAGGGGGTTTGAAGGCAGTATGTTTCGAAGGCAAATTCAAAATTGTGAGCATTTTCATGGTTGATAAGCCTTTTTAAAATCTGGAACACCCTTTATTCTTGCATTACAAAGTGGAATGCTGTTTAATTTCATCTTATCTGCTTTTGACATACAAACACAGATATTGACAATGACAACATACTTTAAGTTCAGAGGGCATGGCACAATAATCTACATGCATTTTATCTCGATGCAAAGGAGGTCTCGATAAATTCAGGCTAATGTGTACATTTTTTGGACATTCCGTAGGCCATGATGTGAGCTGCAGTTGAACTGAGTCAATGCTAGAGTGAAGGCACAAGAAGGTAGGCGACATGGCAGAAGGGGGCGAGGTTAGACTAGAAGCCACAACCACGAAAGAATCAGCTGCTGACAAGCACCGATCAGAGAAGAGAAAATCTGACACCGATGCAACAATGACATCGTCGGAGAACCTCGCGTTTCGCATCTTCCTCCGTGAGAACGAACTCTCCAATGCACTGAAGCACTTTCCGGCAGACTTCACGTTGGGCAACTTTCGGGCGGTGACAGAGGATGACTTGGCAGACGATTACGGTATTGATGATGACAACGTGAGAGCTCAATTGATGCGGGCTGTCAACCGAGCCAGAGAGGAATATGACGAGAGGGAGGAGGCACAGACGAGGCGGAGGGTTCATAGTGTGGTGGTGAACAGGAGACAATCAGAGGTGAGTGGTTAAGATGTTTGTGGTTCTAGGTTCGAATCCTTACAGCATCCTTGTCCATTATGTGAATCTAGCAGTAAGTCATGATAGGGAGGAGGCACAGACAAGGTGGAGGGTACATAGTGTGGTAATGAACAGGAGACAATCAGAGGTGAGTGATTAAGATGTTTGTGGTTCTAGGTTCGAATCCTTACAGCTTCGTTGTCCATTATGTGAATCTAGCAGTAAGTCATGATAGGGAGGAGGCACAGACGAGGCGGAGGGTTCAGAGTGTTGGTGAACAAGAGACAATCAGAGGTGAGTGGTTAAGATGTCTGTGGTTCTAGGTTCGAATCCTTACAGCTTCGTTGTCCATTATGTAAATCTAGCAGTAAGTCCTGATAGGGAGGAGGCACAGACGAGGCGGAGGGTTCAGAGTGTTGGTGAACAGGAGACAATCAGAGGTGAGTGATTAAGATGTTTGTGGTTCTAGGTTCGAATCCTTACAGCTTCGTTGTCCATTATGTGAATCTAGCAGTAAGTCATGATAGGGAGGAGGCACAGACGAGGCGGAGGGTTCAGAGTGTTGGTGAACAGGAGACAATCAGAGGTGAGTGGTTAAGATGTCTGTGGTTCTAGGTTCGAATCCTTACAGCATCCTTGTCCATTATGTGAATCTAGCAGTAAGTCATGATAGGGAGGAGGCACAGACAAGGTGGTTACATAGTTTGGTAGTGAACAGGAGACAATCAGAGGTGAGTAGTGAATATTTCTGTGGTTCTAGGTTCGAATGCCTACAGGCGCATAGTCGATTGGCATTGATTAAGGACGTTTTAAAGTAAATACACAAAAATCAGTCTTCTCTGGTGTGTTCTTCTCTGTGATGTAGTTGAGTACATTTCAAGTCCGTTGTAAGAGCATGCCAGTCATTTGTTATTTTCAGGTACCTTACAACTTGGCAAGTTGGGTTGTGTTGGACTGTGTTGGATTGAGCAGGAAACTCAAACATGTACGAATAACCGTCGGACTCTGTTGGATTTAGCAGGGTTGTCCTAGGAACTATTAGGGTTTAGGATAATTGCATTTGACTGTCTGTGGATTTTTGCATATTAATTCACTGTGCCCTTCGCTGGCTTTTGAGAGTAGGCCGAACACCGCCACCTGCTGATCCACTATGGAGTCCGTACTGTGATCAGTGCTTACAAAACCAGAAAATCTGCTGCTTTCTTAAATAGGTGAAAAGGTAGAACAGGGACCCAGTTTGTAAGCACGACGTTTTAAAAAGTCTAATAGCCAGTGAGCTGGCATAACATATAATATTTTTCTAATCGTGCCGTCATCACGTTTTCTAGCCCTGCTCACACTTTATGATGACTGTATAGAATTGGGCCAAGGCCGTCAAAGCAATTCAGACAAGAGGTCTTGAAGACTCTGTTTGCTTGGTTAATCATCCGTGGTCAATTTGCCATCCTTGTGCCGCCCGGGTCAGTTGTTAAAATTCCAGTTCCTGAGAGCAGTTTGTCAGGAATCCACACCTGGTCCTTTTGTCAATAAACCTGACGCCTCGTCTGAGATAGAATGAAACGCAGGGCTGTTTCATTCAGTCGTAACCTTGGAAAATGCTAGAATGCTGGACATTAATACCCCTCCTTTTGTTTGATCAGTCATGGACAGTCAAAAAATAAATCCTATTCTCTTGCCATGCTTTTTACACAGGCTAGTCACTAACAGTCATATCACATTTCTTGTAGGCACTGTGACAATCAATTTCCATCAACAGACCAAAGCAGGTGACTGGTAGGCACAGCTGGCTTATCAATCTCCTACAGTCAAAGCATAGCTATATCAGGTTTCATAACAATCACAGCCAGTCAATCCTGCTTTATGAAGGCAGGGAGCACTCAACTGTTAAAAACGGTCACTTTTTTTTTTGACGGCTGGGCTGGCCTTGTTGAAATTGCCAGCCAGAGAGGGAGGGTTAAATTAATAGGAGCAGAAAATAGTAAAACATTTCTTTCCAGAATTGTTTTCTTATTTTTCCAAACTGCTGACAGCTTTTTGATGTTGGCTGCGGATACTCTCATGCAGTTCATAATCTGCAGAAATTTAAGCCTTAGCCCAAAATACCAAAACAGGAAAGACGTTATAGGGCACTGCTATTTTAGATTAGGTTTTTCTTTTCTATAAGTGATCCCCTTTGATTTTCATGGTAACCAACTTGTGCTGAACATTCACGTCAACATTTGATAGTCCAATTTGGACCTTACAAACAGCAAAATCTAATTGATGGATTGGCAGTCATTCAAGGACTTATTAACCTGTTGAAGAAAATGTACAAGACACATCATCGTGACCTAACCAACTCAACAGACTATTATCCTTAAGTGTCCGTAACTTGAGAGCCTTCCTGTCTGCGATACTAACAACCGCGGCGAGAGTTCACTGCTACGGTCAGCTACGTTGTTTTTGTCTTCTTTGTCAGAGAGAAGTGACTGTACAACCCCAAGGCACTAAGCCCGGAAGTCAAGCGGATTATCTCATTTAGTCATTACTTGGCTTGTTTTCACAGTTGTTGTTGAACAGCGATGTTTTGAGTGGCGATGCAGTGTCGTGGGCATTTTGAACAGTAAATTCTAGTTTTTCCAACGTTGAACGCAATTCTTGTGTTGGATTTCTCAGCTTAAGTTAACCTCGTGCGTAGTAGGCTGAGCCTTTATTCTTCTAGAACCGTATGGAGGAAAACTGGACAAACTTCCTGCATGCGCTGAACATGATTTACAATTGGAGACCCGTACAAATGTGTCGCACATCCCAGATCGTCAGGTACATGTACTTGTGCACCAAAACAAGACAACTGTAACAAGTGGTTAACGCTGTCGTGCTTGGAACATTCTCCAGTTTGTTTTGCTGTAACCTCGGATACATGTATGCTGTAATGCCATGGTCGATTGTTTAGTGAGGTCTATCATCCCCGGTTACCAACAGGAACAGGATACCAACAAGCCTTCATTTATGTGCACATTCATTTCTCCGGACGTACTACTTCCCACCCTAATGAGTTTTAGCTTCCTGGGTCTTCTAAATACGGACTTTTCTATAGGAAAGGTTGCTTTCCACACAGGAAACTTCATTTTTAATTTAAAAACAACTGTATTACCAGATGTTCGTTTTCTAAAGATTTAACATAATTTTCAAAGAAGTTGAATTGTGCGTGAAGTACATATTTAATTTCTTGTTTGACTCTTGTTGATTTTTTCCTTCTCATAAAATTATCATGTATCAAAGTCTCGAACTCGTAATTTGGCAATATATTTTAAACTTGCATATCGAGGTGAAAAATGAATTAATCTTTGTGCAGATGCGGCATCTGCTGTAACTGATCTTTCCCTTTGATTGAAATGTTCAACTTAAAACTGTGAATATCGGAGAAGTGGTCTACCGCAATTGATAGTCTCTCCGGAACTGAAGTTGTCGATTGAAGTTGTTTTGAAAGACCGAGTGTTAGACCTGTGGAGTGCAATTCAAGGAAGGAGCGTGCCATCAAACTGAAGCATGCCTAGGATCGTGACTACGAGTAATTACAGTTCTCCGGGAATCTACGAAATGGCAGGATACGTGCTCCATTAATTAATTGAGAACATGTCACTTCTACGGCTTCGCAAGGCTCTTGGACTTGGCAAAAAATTGGACAGGTCCGACAATAGGGTAAGTCATAGATATTGCGGGGTGAATATTTAAAGCCTTACTCATGATAGCTTGTGAAAAATGCCTGATTTGTTTTCTTTGGAGTTATCGTTGGTTTGGTGTGCAGTTGAAAATGGATACTGTAGCTGTTAAACAGAGCCCCAAATTTTCTCTTGTTTCTAATTGAATGAACAGCCATAGATGTTAAATCAAATTGGCTGTTTTGTGGCTGTGGCTTCGTAGCCATTGAACAAAAAAATCTTATTTTGGACACAGCAAGGCACATGTACAGTATGTACATGTACATGTACATCATGGTGTTATCTTTGATGCAGGGTCAGTGTAATTGTTATCTGCATGGAATACCCGCTGCATTCTGCGTGTACAGTATGTGCACTTCAAGAGCATTAGGCCAATCGTACTACTGCAAATATAGAATCATTTAATTAAAGCACATCACGACGTCATACAATTTCAGAAGCTGTGAAGTCATTAACTGGCCTCATGTATGTGTTCATGTTTCCAGTCTAAGCAGTTTCTGGCTTTGCAGCCAGCAAGGAAACCTGTCGTGGCATTGTGGGAGACAGAGTGCACTTGTAATTACAGACGTAGGACCATATGCATGCCCGTGGGCAAAACGGTGAAATTCTCGCTAAATTGCAGCATTACTTAACGCAGGATGGCTTGATTATCATTGAGATAAGTACTTAGACGTGATGTGGCCTTGGCTAGACTAATGTAATGGGCTTTATGTGCAGACATGAAGACTAGATAAGGCAAACGATATGAAAGGAAATTAGTATTGCGCGGAGATTATTTTTGGAAAATATTTGTGAAGGTCTTGTTCTGATGTTGTTACAATTGATCACCACTTTTGTTGAAGTATTTTGACTGTGTTGTAAAATAAAAACTGAAAAATCCAAACAACACTTTTTGAACAATGAACTTTCAAAATGAAAAGACTCTCGAAATAAAAATTTATATTACCCCTTCATATGTGACATTTAGATATTATTTTGGAATGAGACACTGCTTCAGGCAAAAGTCCCCTCCCCCCACCCCCACCCCTCCCCCCTAAAAAAGCCATAAAATAAAAAACACCCAGAATGTCCCCAATAAAAAAAAACAGACCAACTTCAATATGCAGGGGGCCTGAAAAACATGAAAAATATCAACTTGTGTGAATTTCATAGAGGCCCTGTTTTTCAAAAACAAAGAGAAATTCCTTAAGGAGCAAGAGTTCAATCAGCGTAAAGTAGTTTCGTTGGGATTGCGCATGAATGTCGTCGTTCTAAATGTAACCTATAGGATTGCCTGACCGATCAATTTCTGTGCGTGGGAAAAAAGTCTCTAAATTCAAGACGATTCTGATGCGCTTTTTGCCTTGAGGTGTGAAAATCTGTTCAGGAATTGTACCCGTTCTGTAGTCCATTAGTAAAGCCCATTGGACCTTTCCAGTCGTAA